TCCATCCCTCTCCCTCTCTCTCTCTCTCGCTCTCTCTCTCTCCTTCCATCCCTCTCACTCTCTCTCTCTCTCGCTCTCTCTCTCTCCTTCCATCCCTCTCCCTCTCTCTCTCCTTCCATCCCTCTCCCTCTCTCTCGCTCTCTCTCTCTCCTTCCATCCCTCTCTCTCTCTCACCCCCCCCCCCCCTCCCTCTCCCTCTCTCTCTCTCTCTCCTTCACCCCAACCGGTGGAGGCAGATGGTCGCCCACCCTGAGTCATGGTTCTGCTCGAGGTTTCTGCCTCTTAAAGGAAGTTTTTCCTTGCCTCTGTCTCCTAGTGCTGCTCTTGGTGGGAACTGTTGGGCTTCTGTAAATATCATCACAGAGTTCGGTCTAGACCTGCTCTTTTATGAAAAGCGCTGTGAGATAACTGTTGTTGTGATTTGGCGCTATATAAATAAAATTGAATTGAATTGAATAGAACTGGTATCTCTTTCAGGATACTGGTACTGGTATCACTTTCAGGGTATTGGCATCTCTTACAGGGTACTGGTATCTCTTTCAGGGTATTGGCATCTCTTACAGGGTACTGGTATCTCTTTCAGGGTATTGGCATCTCTTACAGGGTACTGGCATCTCTTACAGGGTACTGGTATCTCTTTCAGGGTATTGGCATCTCTTACAGGGTAGTGGTATCTCTTACAGGGTAGTGGTATCTCTTTCAGGGTACTGGCATCTCTTACAGGGTACTGGTATCTCTTTCAGGGTATTGGCATCTCTTACAGGGTACTGGTATCTCTTTCAGGGTATTGGCATCTCTTACAGGGTAGTGGTATCTCTTACAGGGTAGTGGTATCTCTTTCAGGATACTGGTACTGGTATCACTTTCAGGGTATTGGCATCTCTTACAGGGTACTGGTATCTCTTTCAGGGTATTGGTATCTCTTACAGGGTACTGGTATCTCTTTCAGGATACTGGTACTGGTATCACTTTCAGGGTATTGGCATCTCTTACAGGGTACTGGTATCTCTTTCAGGATACTGGTACTGGTATCACTTTCAGGGTATTGGCATCTCTTACAGGGTACTGGTATCTCTTTCAGTTACTGGTACTGGTATCTCTTTCAGGATACTGGTACTGGTATCACTTTCAGGGTACTGGCATCTCTTACAGGGTACTGGTATCTCTTTCAGGGTACTGATATCTCTTTCAGGATACTGGTACTGGTATCACTTTCAGGGTACTGGCATCTCTTACAGGGTACTGGTATCTCTTTCAGGGTACTGATATCTCTTTCAGGATACTGGTACTGGTATCACTTTCAGGGTACTGGCATCTCTTTCAGGATACTGGTACTGGTATCACTTTCAGGGTACTGGTATCTCTTTCAGGGTACTGGTATCTCTTTCAGGATACTGGTACTGGTATCTCTTTCAGGGTACTGGTACTGGTATATCTTTCAGGGTACTGGTATCTCTTTCAGGATACTGGTACTGGTATCTCTTTCAGGGTACTGGTATCTCTTTTAGGATACTGGTACTGGTATCTCTTTCAGGGTACTGGTACTGGTATCTCTTTCAGGTTAGTGGTATCTCTTTCAGGATACTGGTACTGGTATCACTTTCAGGGTACTGGTATCTCTTTCAGGTACTGGTGTCACTTTCGGGGGAACTGTTAAGGGTACTAGTAACACTAACTGTACTGGTGCTGGTATCTCTTTCAGTTACTGGTGTCACTTTCGGGGGAACTGTTAAGGGTACTAGTATCACTAACTGTACTGGTACTGGTATATCTTTCAGGGTACTGGTATCTCTTTCAGGATACTGGTACTGGTATCTCTTTCAGGGTGCTGGTATCTCTTTCAGGATACTGGTACTGGTATCTCTTTCAGGTACTGTATCACTTTCAGGGTACTGGTACTGGTATCTCTTTCAGGGTAGTGGTATCTCTTTCAGGATACTGGTACTGGTATCACTTTCAGGGTACTGGTATCTCTTTCAGGTACTGGTGTCACTTTCGGGGGAACTGTTAAGGGTACTAGTATCACTAACTGTACTGGTGCTGGTATCTCTTTCAGTTACTGGTGTCACTTTAAGCGTACTGGTGTCACTTTAAGCGTACTGGTATCACTTTCAGGTACTGGTATCACTTTAAGGGTACTGGTATCTCTTTAAGGGTACTGGTATCTCTTTAAGGGTACTGGTATCACTTTAAGGGTACTGGTGCTGGTATCTCTTTCAGGTACTGGTACTGGTATCTCTTTCAGGTACTGGTATCACTTTAAGGGTACTGGTATCTCTTTCAGTTACTGGTACTGGTATCACTTTCAGGTACTGGTACTAGTATCTCTTTCAGGTACTGGTATCACTTTAAGGGTACTGGTATCTCTTTCAGTTACTGGTACTGGTATCACTTTCAGGTACTGGTATCACTTTCAGGTACTGGTATCTCTTTCAGTTACTGGTACTGGTATCACTTTAAGGGTACTGGTACTAGTATCTCTTTCAGGTACTGGTATCACTTTAAGGGTACTGGTATCTCTTTCAGGTACCGTATCACTGGTACTGGTACTGGTATCACTTTCAGGGTACTGGTATCTCTTTCAGGATACTGGTATCTCTTTCAGTTACTGGTACTGGTATCTCTTTCAGGATACTGGTACTGGTATCTCTTTCAGGGTACTGGTACTGGTATATCTTTCAGGGTACTGTATCACTTTCAGGGTACTGGTACTGGTATCTCTTTCAGGGTAGTGGTATCTCTTTCAGGATACTGGTACTGGTATCACTTTCAGGGTACTGGTATCTCTTTCAGGTACTGGTGTCACTTTCGGGGGAACTGTTAAGGGTACTAGTATCACTAACTGTACTGGTGCTGGTATCTCTTTCAGTTACTGGTATCTCTTTAAGGGTACTGGTATCACTTACAGGGTACTGGTGCTGGTATTTCTTTCAGTTACTGGTACTGGTATGTCTTTCAGGTACTGGTACTGGTATTTCTTTCAGTTACTGGTACTGGTATCTCTTTCAGTTACTGGTACTGGTATCTCTTTCAGGTACTGGTATCACTTTCAGGTACTGGTACTGGTATCTCTTTCAGTTACTGGTACTGTTATCTCTTTCAGGTACTGGTATCACTTTAAGGGTACTGGTATCACTTTCAGTTACTGGTACTGGTATCACTTTCAGGTACTGGTACTGTTATCTCTTTCAGGTACTGGTATCACTTTAAGGGTACTGGTATCTCTTTCAGTTACTGGTGTGGTAAATCATGTAGTGTGTGATGCGTTTACAGGTCAGGCTGGAACAAAGAAATCACATAAGCTGCGGGTGTGTCTGTCCTACCGCCCCTCACGGTCGTCGTGGACATTGTCTTCATGTAGGGCGTCGTCATGGATATCGTCGTGGAAATTGTGGTAACGGAGGGCGTCGGGATACGGTAGGAAGGTCCGCCCCTCTATCTGAGCCTTCATCACCAGCGCCTCGTTCTTCTGTTTCTCCAGGAACCTCAGCGCCTCCTCGGCCACGCCCGCCGCCCAGCTGCTGCTCACCTCCGGGTTGCTAAGCAATGGGCAGGTCACCTGAGGAGGGAGAGACGACCTCCAGCTGTTAGTCACAGCCTAGACGTCCTGCAGGTGGAGCTTATCTGACTTAGTCTTCATATTATCGTTAGCCTGACTTACCAAGCTCTGTTGTAACCATTAGTCTTTATTCTAGCTAGTCTAACCTAAATTAGCATTAGCATGTAAGCTTTAACTTACTTTACCTTAATTAGCCTTAAGTTATCCTAACTTAGTTTTTTACTTTAGCCCACAGACTGTATGACAAAAGTGGGCGGAGCCATCGTGACGTCCCCCGTTAGTTTGTAGTAGTAGTCTTGGTTTCTTGGAACCAGACGTAACCATATTTGGACGAGATGGTGGAGCTAGCTAGCTTCAATCAGGATACGAGTCGCCTCTGTCCTGATTGACAGGTCGCCATGGTAGCGTCTTGTCAATCAGCTTGTAGCCCCGCCCTAAAGCCTCCCCTTCTTCCTGGTCTCTGTTCCTCTAAATGGGACCATAATTTACTAAATGAACATCATGCTGTGTTGAAGAAGACTTGAAACTAGCGACTGAGACCATAAACTCATCAGGAAAGTGTTTACTGAGGGAATAAATCAGCTGACAAGTAGAAACATTTTCTTTCTGCAGCCGCTGGAGTCGCCCCCTGCTGGTTGCTGGAGAGGACGCAGGTTTAAGTCGCCCCCTGCTGGCCGCTAGAGAGGACGCAGGTTTAAGTCGCCCCCTGCTGGCCGCTAGAGAGGACGCAGGTTTAAGTCGCCCCCTGCTGGCCGCTAGAGAGGACGCAGGTTTAAGGCTCTTCCCGCTTCCCGCGGAGGTTCCCGCTTGCTTTATCCTTTTTATTTACAGTGTACTTATGAAACCTACCACATTACAGTTAGACTTAACTTATTGTAACTTAAGTTAGCTTAACTTGGTCTCGCTTAACTTACTTAGCCTGTTTCTGTTAGCCTTAACTTGAAACTTAGCTTAAGTTAGCTCGCAGTCAGCCGCCTTACCTCCTCAGAGACCGAGATGATGAAGCTCATGGCGTCCTCTCCCTGGACTTCTTCAATCATTAAACTCTTCCTGGCGTTTTCTTTACTGATGACCTCGCGGCCCGTCTTGGAGACACAGATAACTTTGGTTTGGACATTTTTGGGGAAGTCGAGGCTGACGGAGAGTCCAGAGTCTGGACCCCGACAGATGAACAGGTGAGTGCAGTCCTGGGTGTTGAAGAAAGTGCTGAAGGTCACCTGGTTCTCCTCCTCAGAGACGAACTCCCGCCATGTTTCAGGGTCCAACCTCAAAGCTTTGACAGCGAAGCCCCGGACAGGCTCCAACCGCTCGTCTTTACCGTCCATCTGTCCGTTGTAACGTTAAACCGTCTTCTTTCTGTCTCGAGTTTCTTAAAGTATGAAATTACTTAATTTAAAACAACTATATTAACCAATCTGTCGGGGGGAAACCAGTTAAAACCGTAGACTGTATGGTTAAAACTTAATCTGACGGTTGCTGTTGTTTTTCACTAATAACGGTCAATTCAGTCACACGCGCGTGCTGCCTTCATCACGCCGTAAATACGAGATTTGAATGCATAAAAACTTCGTAAGTTTGTAAATAAAGAGATCGAACTGTGGCGATTTCTTTACATTTAATTCATAATGTGGCAGCTCGTTTTAACTCGTAGTAACCAAATCTTATTTGGGTAATTTATTTGACCAGATTCACTGTCGAAAAATGACAGATTCAAACATAAAGAACCTATGAAATGAACATTATTCACCACCACATCCACACAAATATCGCTTTAACCACGTGGAGTGTTTTAATTCAGATCGTCCCCTCAAACGTATGAAACCTGTTTATAATGTAAACACACATTAAATAAATAAATTATCTGCCGGACAGCCTCACCAACATAAGAAAGCAGTACATCCGATTTCAGTGGCAGTCCGTAAAGGCAGCATGGCGGGGTTAACTTTTTTCAGATTTTTTTCTTTATGAAAATACATAAATGTATAAAATACTTTCCCCATATTCAACTAATACAGCTGTAGCGTCAGTTTTATATTTGATTACATTACTTTATTTAGATTTTAGTAAAAAAAAGAGTTTGTAATATATTATAAATTTATTCCCAGTATTTTAAATAAAACACAATTGTTCTGTTCTTTGTCAGATTCTACTGTTCACTGAATCACTTCAGTCTTCTTGATCACTATTTCCTGTCACTGATATCAGGCCGCTGCACGCCAGCCCAGAAGGTGGCGGTCAGTCTGCCACCCGCCGAACACCAGAAGAAGAACAACAACGCGCTGTGATTGGTCGCTGGGTCGTATAAAGAGGAGTGGCGCTGGGCGCGGGAAGCTGTCCGCTGATGTGACGTAGCTGCTGCTGATCAAAGGCTCGTTTCCAGGCAACAGGCCGGCGTGTGCGCCATTAGCTAACTTAGCAGCAGCGGCTAACGTGAGTTCCAGGCTCCTCTGTGGACTGAGACCCGGACAAACCGGCCCTGATGGATCCGCTGAAGGTGAGCTGGAGTCCAAACTCCGTCTATCAAGCAGACAGGACTGAAAACAGCGCCCGTGTGGCGGGAATGTCTAGAAAGATGGCGGCCAACCTGGCTGACGCTGCGTTAGGCAGCTCGCTGCTAACGTGTCTGCTGCTCCGGTTTCTAAAGTTCTGTTTCTAAAGTGGACTTTAACGTTTATACGCTGCTCCCTGTCGGAGATGTGTCTTCACTTCCGGCCACGTGCTCCCGTAGTTTCCTTTGTCTTTAACGTGAACATGAACTCGGTGCTAGTGAAAATGTTCACAACGTTACTGAAACCTCTTCCCTCCCGCCGCCTGAGTTCGGCCAGTAGTTGAGTTTGTGCTGCTGGTGCTGAACCCGTCTCAGGTGAACACGTGGTCCAGGTGTGAGACTCTGTGACGTCACCTATCTGATTTAGAGT